ACAAACAAACAAACAAACAAACAAACAAACAAACAAACAAACAAACAAACAAACAAACAAACAAACAAACAAACAAACAAACAAACAAACAAACTAATTAACTAGCTTGTATAGTTGCATAATTTTCACTGCAGGACCAATCAAACTGACAGAAAAACTTTCTTGCCAAGCTTGTGAACGAATTACTGAATCAGTAAATAAATTAACTATATGCCAGCGAGTAGAATTTTGCTTTCCTCATCTTATAGACAAACAAACAAACAAAATCACCGGGAAATTCAAACAGAAATATTAAGTTAACCTTAAAAGGGTTCTTTCTAGTTTTAGTGGGAATATTTCAACTGCGATGTTTTTAGTCGAGTGTATATTGTGTGGAAATTTCTTATACAATAATTGAGATGAATAAATTTTTTTCCAACTTCGGTAAATTCTACCATTATTTATACAGATAACTCTGAGCACAATCTGATTATCAAGCCGTGCCATCAAATTGCAAGCCTTCCTAACGAAGAGAGAAGTTCTGTGGTCATTATCGAATAACGAAAAAATGTCTTCCAAAATCTTGTTACTGTTGTACCTTGTTCAATTTTCGCATGCTGCAGGTAAGAATTTATTTAAGGGTTAGAGAATGATGTGAGTGTTCTGTTTACAAATACATGCACGAGCTGACTGTACAATGAACGAGAAATTTTCAATACTGAACGAGGCGAAGCCGAGTGCAGTATTGAAAATTTCGAGTTCATTGTACAGTCAGCAAGTGCATGTATTTGTAAACAAAACACGAACTTAAAGTCTCTAACCCATTTAATATATTATCTGAGTTCACTGCTTGCATGCAATTATACTGTACGCCTTTTGTAAACAAAACAAAACAAAACAAAATTAAATTAAAACAAAGCAATTCCAGTTTGGAAAAGAACGTTTATTAACACATTTTCATCATAAGTTTTTACCAATAGTCTAATTTTAAGTACATTGCAAAATAATTGCGTACAACTGTTTTTAAAACAAGACAACGAATACAATGAAAAACCCGACTAGACTTTTTAAGCAGGAAGTTTACACGCGACAAAATCGTGAAGAGTCAGATTTTGCTTCGTTTATTTACCTTGAAAGATGACAATGCACCAGTTTGTTTGGATTTTTATACTTTTAGACACTGCATTATGTACAATTTGATTAATTTCGTCTTCATTGACTCGTGTAAACCTTGAACCGACAGCCTTGCGGGAAGCCATTTTCAATAATGCACGTTTTTTACGCGTTATTGTCAATAATGCACCCGCAGAATTCGTTGTTGCCAGGTAACAAAAACACACGTGATCGATTTTGACCAATGGCGTGCGTGTATTTTGTACAGTGAACGAAGATTATATATTAATTTGAAATAAAGATTAAAAGAGAGCCAATAAGGTCACATTGCATGGAGCGGTCAATATTTATTCCCAAAACAAGGTGGGTGGGTTTGTTTGTGATTGTTTTGTGAGTTGGCCAGCGCGTTCGTTGCATGCACCCTTCATGTATATCTTCGGTATATATATATATATATATATATATATATATATATATATATATATATATATATATATATATATATATATATATATATATACCGGGTGTCCCAAAAAAAAGTACTCCTGTTTGATTCGTAATAACTTCTAAACAAGTAAAGCTTTTAAAGAGAAATAACTTGCATTAAATAGAGGAAGGACTAACTTAGATTTTGATATATTACAGTTGTATTTTACTTAAAAATTCACGGAGATATTAATGTTCAAAATCGGGAGCATATTTTGGAATGTGTCTAAAATTGGTGAAAATCGGCATATCAAATATTAACTCCAGCGTTTGTTTGCTTAATGACATATCAGGCTAAATTGTATTTCAGCGAATTATCGTTAGAGTTTGTAAGGGATATGGCGTAGATTTAGACATCTTACATGTAAGTCTTAGCTCATTGTTTCCTGAAATATGAACGTTCGAAATTGTGCAAGTATTTAATATTAGGTCTTTACAAGCTTAAAAGTACATGAAAGACTGACCATGGAAGGCAGGCGCTTAAATTTTTCTTAAATAGCCTAATTTTTTATGTTTTTAATGGTTCAAACAGACTGAGTTGATTATTTCTCGGTTAGAGCAGGATGAATATTATTCTTTATTGAAGGAAATGATATTGCTTTTTGCATAGTTAATGGAGGAGATGGTTTGGAAACTCATTAGCATTACAATAAACCTCACTATCTATGTTTTTGTTCAGGTTTATGCAAAAATGTGGTCTTTTATCGTCACGTGCGTATTGTATTTTTGCTCAACCAGCCAATAGCAACGGTTTTGTCCAATTGCCCATCCATGACTTTAACAATAGGACATTTTGAACATTCCTATTGGTTGACTTGAGAAAAATACAATACGCACGTGACGATGAAAGACCACATTTTTGCATAAACCTGAACAACATAGATAATGAGGTTTATTGTGATTTTATTGTAATGCTAACGAGTTTCCAAACCATCTCCTCTATTAACTATGCTTTTTGCAAATACACATCACCGTAAATCACCGTATCAACGCTACTATTTTGTTACGTTTTGTTCCAAAAATGTTGCATGTCTCTGGGGAGTTGCTAAATTGTTATGTCTTATGGAGTTATATATATGGTTTGATTGTGTTTCATATAATTTTCAGTTTACTCTGGACTTGCCAAGATTAAGAAAAGGCAAAAGAGTGTGGGTGTTCTTAACAAGATTTCAGAACGTTGCAGAAGTTAGAGGAGCTTCACAATTCCATTGTGACAGCATGCCCTACGAACGATCAGAACTACTGTTACGAAACATTATTACTTATACATAAAATTTTAGGTTAAAAATAAAAAAATAACACAAGATGTTTGCTTGAGAGCAGGTGAAATGGTTGTTCAAGCAAATATTACTTTAAGCATAATGAGAAGAGATAATGGATGTTTTGCCACAAATCAAAGTAACGTAAATATTTCGATTCTTCGGAAAACATTCATTATTTTTTCTCATTATGCTTAAAGTAATATTTGCTTGAACAACCATTTCACCTGCTCTCAAGCAAACATCTTGTGTTATTTCTTTTATTTTTAACCTAAAATTTTATGTATAAGTAATAATGTTTCGTAACACTACGAACGATCCATGACGATCCTTCGCGATGCAGTGGTCTCATGAAATAAAGAAACGTATTCGTGCTAGGAACACACGCGAATTTCGGACGAATAAATCTTGCTTGTATTTTGTAGATATAATAATACTTTGTTTTATAATAAACAATTTGTCAAGTGTCATTTACTGTTAGTCGTGCATGTTTCAGTCGGGCAAATCTTGATTAATATTTGATACGCCGTTTTTTGCATATTTCAGACACACAGACACATCCAGAAATATGCTCCCGATTTTAAAGATTAATATCTCCGTGAATTTTTAAGTGAAATACAACTGTAATATATCAAAATCTAAATTAGTCCTTCCTCTATTTGATGCAAGTTATTTCTCTTTAAAAGCTTTATTTGTTTAGAAGTTATTACGAATCAAACAGGAGTACTTTTTTTTGGGACACCCGGTATATATATATATATATATATATATATATATATATATATATATATATATATATATATATATATATATATATATATATATATATATATATATTAACGTTTCTTACACGCAAAAATAAATCAAAATTTGAGATTTAACTAACATAACAATTTCACACACCAGAAACAAAATATAGTAATTATATATATATATATATATAACTGATTAATTCTTGTTGTCCGTAATTGAACGAAGAGTGCTCAATACCAATATACGATAGAGCTTAAATAATTCTTTAATCTT